GGGTAAAAGTCACAATTCAGGATTCTTTTTCTTCTCATTGACAAGATTCGTGTGCCCTCCATGCTCACAGGAGATGGTGAGAGCAATGCTTGTAAGCTCAGATGCCCGCAGGGCCTGCGGTAGCAAGGTGTAAGCTGTACGTGGGCCATTAGATCGCCTTGACTGCTGGTAACTAGCAAATCTTTACTTTTCCTCTATGGATGTGTAGGTCTGTGAAGACAGATTTTGTCTTGTTCAGTTACAGTCAGGTTCTGGTGGCCCACTTGTAGCCATAGGTAAAGTAGGAAAAGTAGAGTAGAGTATTTCACAGAGGTATTTCTTACATAGGATACTCTTAACGTGATTTGTTTACCTGACTCGCTGCTGTGAAAGGTTCCAGTCAACACAAGAGTTTAGCTTGTACTGTTGATTTCTTTACTCATCCCTTATTTTAGAAATATACGTGTTCCTAACGGTTTTCTTAGGATCATTCACCTTGCATGTTCGGGAAATGCTGTTAAATGAAGGGTTATTTGTCTTCATGCTGTTTGATTTTTACTGTTTGATTTTTGCTGTTTTATTTTGCAACTTGGAATATTTGTCATTTCCATGTCCTGCTTTTTCCCCCTGCTCTGGTCCTCTCTTTTCCACACACCCACACCCACAACCTCCCCCTCCCCACAGTAGCCATCAATATATAAAATGGTGGAGAGAACCTTAGATATAAACTTTTATGTGCAGAAGTTCTGTAAGTAAAGATCGTGTTTTTCACAAGGCAGAGTTCAGCATTTCTGAGATTCTTGGCTTTCTGTGTTTGGTTTTAGGATTGGGAGAGGTAGTTATAAAATAAACTATGCAGGTCTGAAGACCTAATCATATTTCTTCATAATTCTCGAGCAAATACAGACAAGTACTTAGATTCTGGGGTGTGGGGATCACTAGAAAAAAAAAAAAATAAAGAAGGAAGTCCCTATGAGCTGTCTTGTTTCAGGTCAGAGCCAGAAAAGCCTTACTTTTGTTCTGCCTAGTAGTGGCTTGGCACAATGCACCATCTTGCTGCCCCAGTCCTGAGTGTAGTTAACTAAGTAAGATTTAAGGTCCTCGAGGCTCCAGGTTTTGCATTCTCTTCCACCACACAATCCAACTCCAGCGGAAGTGAGTAGGCTTCATTTTTTTTTTTAAAAAGTTAATTAGATTTTCTTTTATGTGGAATAGCATTTTTCCTCCTCAACTGCGTCACTAGTTTTTGCTATCTTGCTAATATTTGAATGATCTTCACTGAGAATTTTCCTTTAATTTTTGTTTTGTTTTGTGTTCATTTCTCATGAAGAGGTGTTAAGGTGTCAGCAACTAGATGCAACTGATTAGATCTTTCAGGTATTTGTTTCTGTGTACAAATGTTACATTCACTCTGAGTTTCCAAGAAACAAATGACTTTGACTGTTCTGGCTTGGCTGGTTTTCTCTCTCTCTGACCATCATTGGATTGAAGCTGGGAACGGAACACAACTTGAAATCCTGTGGTTTAGATGCTAGAATTCAGGGCTAAACTGTCTGAAGCTAACTTTATTAATGTTGAGATATTTTCCCCCAACAAATAAACCTGAAAAATAATGAAATTTAACTCCTGGCAGTCCATAAAATTGTAGATGGGTACACACACATACACACACACACACACACTCGTAGGAAGACAGCCAGTCCTCCATTTCTCTGTCAATTCACACTCTAACATGCATGCATTTCTTCAGTTTCAAGATTCACATGCAACTTTTACCGACTGGAGTTTCTCTTGTGATATGAAATGGGCAACTTGATCTGTGTTGACATTGGTAATAATAAAAGACCTGTGGAGTTCTGATGATCAAGACAGACTGTTTAGTTTTGATCAGTCAAAGGGAGAATGCCATATTGAAAGTATAGTAAGAAATATTTTTGGCTAGCTGTGGCACACACCTTTAATCCCATCATACAGGAGACAGAGAGAGGTGGATTTTTGTGAGTTCAAGTTCAGCCTGGTCTACATAGTGAATTCTAGTCTAGGCACGACTGCAAAATGATACCCTGCTTAAAAAAAAATTTTTTTAAAGGGGCCCCACTGAGATGACTGAGAGAGCAAGATGCTTCCTATACAAGCCAAAACTTAGAGTTCAGTCCCCATCTCTCATTGTAGAAGGAGAGACTCTGCTAGCTGAATTGCCATTTGACCTTCACATGTGGGCTGTGCCCAGTATGCAAGAGTAGTAGCAACACTGCTAGTCATCGTAGTAGTAATCATAGTACTAGTCATCATAGTGGTAGTAAGCAAGAGTCACAATAACAGCAACAATAGCGGTAGAAATAATGAAAAGGATTGTAAAGTTAACTATTTGTAGTATGGTCCAGATGATTAGCTAGATTCTGTTTCAGAAATGAGATGCATTAGGAACTACTTTCTTGAGTATATGCCATTGAGATAAAGATGTTATTGGGGGAGGTATATCCTCAAAAATGAAAGACAACCTGCACATAGCTGGTCTTTGTTTTGTTTTTGAAGTACTGGACATGGAACTCACTACTTAACCCATGCTAGATAAGTACTCTACTATAATAGAATTATTTTTTTTTTTGGGGGGGGAGGTTATATGCCTTCTTTGCTTCTAAATATTTATTATGGATTTCTACTTCACTTTAGACTTTTTAGTTCCTGAATAAAAGACACAGAGACATTTTAGATTTCTAATAAGCTTTAATACACTAGAGCTGGGCAGATCTTAACCCTGTAAGCTATTTTGTCATGTATCCCTATATTATTTGCCATATGTTCTGTTTGGGCTGCTCCTGCTCCATCAGGCCAGCCTTCATGGCTACATCCTTGTCCCCCATCTCCACAGCTCCTGGCCTTGTGGTCTCTACCCGAGACCCCAGCCCTGGAACCAAAGCTCCGCCTATTCCTATTCTGCCCAGCTACAAGCTCTAGCCTTTTATTCTTTTAACTGATCAGAGAATATTGGGGAGTCAAAGTTTACACAACACTATTTGGTGTACTTAAGAATGTAGTCTGGGTTGTAACCAGCTCTTGGGGTCAGCATTTAGCATTTGAATACACACAGCACCAAACCAACTCCCAACACTCTACTGTGGACTGCATTTGCTGCCACCTTTTTACAATGTTCATTTTGAGATAAAACGTTGCCTAGGCTAGCCTTGAACTCATTCTGTAGTTCATTATATGCCTTGATTCTTGTTGTCTCGCCTTAAGTAGATAGGATTATAAGCTTGTACCACCAGGCCTGCTAAGACTTCTTGACTAGAAAGTAATCCATATGAAGCTTCCTGGGGGTAGTGATTTGATAGGAGTTTAGATTACATATATAGGGCTGGAGTTGTTGCTTAGCATTAGAATACTTGGCGAGTACACACAGACTCCTGAGTTCAATCTCCAGTACCGTAAGCAAATAATTCATAGATGGCGTATGAGTATGTTTGTTAGTATTCATCAAATGATAGATAATATTTACATATTTCATTATGAGAAATTCAAAAGGAAAAATGCTATGCAATTTTAAACTCTAGGAAATGGTATGCATACAGAATTGTTGGGAGAAAGCAATTGACTTACTTTGAAGTACAAAAGAAAGCAACCCAAAATGTATTGGTGAATAGATGGAGAGATGGACAGACAGATCAGGATAGCATAAAATAGCATAATTAATACAGTAAAATGCTGATTGTTGCATGTAGGAGTGGGTGTATGGACATTTCTCGTAAAAATCCTTTAGCTTTTCATTTCATTTATTCTAAGGCAACTGACAACAAAGAAGTTGATGTTAGATGGGCAAAAGAGTATTTCAGATGGTATCAGTTCTGCTAGATTAAATGAAAACTTGTTTGAGTCTATTACTGTCCCATTTGCCATAACAAAATAATAGAGATTGGGTACTTTTATATAGTAGAGAGGTTCGTTTGGCTCAGAATCTGGTGGCTGGAAGTAAAAAACAAACAATCAAACAAAAACCTGGCACTAGCTTGCTGTGTCACATCATGGGAGAGAAGCAAGAAAGAAAATACTGTATGCAGAATGGACCTTTGAAGTAAGAAGGACAGTAATTTCTCCTGTCCTCCTGTCCAACCTAATTATCTCCATCACTCCTCACCTGTTCATTTCCACTACCTCAAACATTACTCCACTGAGGACAAAGCTCCAACAGTTTGAGCCTTTGGCAGGACACTCGGGCTGTAAAGTATAGACTTTCTCTAGTGCTCTGTGATGAGATGTGGAATGATCATGAAAACCCATTCAGTCACAAAGACTTTCCGGTTATCTTACAGCAAAGACGGTGAGAAATTTGCTGAACTTACGGAGGAGCAGAACTTATTTATTATTATTATTTTTTAATGAAAAGATAAGCAGTTGGATGTAGTGGTACATTCCCTTAATCTCAGCACTCAGGTAGAGGTAGACAGAATTCTGTGAGTTCCAGGGCAGTCTAGTATACGAAGTAAGTTCTGCGCTAGACAGGGCCACACAAAGAAAAGTCAGAAGAAAGAAGAAAAGGAAAGGAGGACAACAGGCAAGCTCTGTGCTATCTACTGACCCTCTATGAACGACAAGTGGCTTTGCCACGTGCTGCCCAGCAGATTAAGAGACTCCATCAATCAATTGCTCTTCAGTAATATTTTCACAGCATCGTCTGTCAACACAATACATATAGTGAAGGAGTGGCTCATCTAGCCTTTCTCAATCATAATTTCACATCTGGCAACTAAGCACAGAAGGTGATTGACTGAGAGCCCATTTTCTCATTATTCCCAAGGATAACATCCCAAGGACACACCAATAAGGGAAAAGTTAGCTTGTTACATACAGTGGGTATCTTAGGGCACTGGGGCTTATTTATCCTTTCCTGGAACCCAGGTTCATAGGATTTTTTTTTCCCCTAGCAAATTCTAAAATAATTTTCTTTGGTGAGCTTTCAGTGTTAATACAAATTTTATATAAACATATATAACATGCATTTTGTTTTTTATTTTTGTGTTTAGATTACAGGTCCACCAGGTTGCGGAAAAACCCAGTTTTGTATAATGATGAGTGTTTTAGCTACATTACCCACCAACATGGGAGGATTAGAAGGGGCTGTTGTGTATATTGACACGGAGTCTGCATTTACTGCTGAAAGGTAGGATTTTATTTTTCCATTATAATGCTTTGCTTTTATAGCTATTATACACCATTGGACATTTACAAATAGGTTAATAGTTATTTTAATTTTTAAGAACAAAGAATGCGAGGTGATGTTTTTAAGGGACAGTTTTCTCTTGAAATTGATACAGGAAGCAGATAATTTTTATTCCTCTTCTATCTCTTTCTTACTGGTTTAAGTGGGGTTTCTTTCTAAGTTGTGTTTTATAGAAGGTTAAGAAGAAACCAGGTTAAGAAGAAGCAAGGTGAAGAACAGGGAGGGATGTTAAGTAGAAACTGGGGACGAGTAAAGAGAAGAAATTAAGCTGTTTTATATGTTATTTCTACAAGGGAGTTTAGTATTGGTGAGTGGACATTCACCAAGTAGGAAATCAAACATATGGAGATCAATTTTTACCTTAGTCAACATATCCTGGAACTGACTTTGGACTCTTTGTGATTATGTCATTATGAACAATTCTCTTCTTTTTCTCTCTCTGAAGAATAGTAGATCAAAGTGGATCGGATGAGGTATGATGTTTAATATGGATTGTCAATTTGACAGGATCTAGAGTCACCTAGGAGATGAGCTCCCACATATACTTGTGAGAACTGTCTTTCTAGGTTAGGTAGCGTCTGGGCAGGCTTGTGAAGGGTTGTTTCAATTTGGTCAACTGAGGTGGGAAGACCCACCTTAAAGGACTGTGGCACCACTGGGTCCTGGCCTGAATAAAAAGAACACTGCCTTTGAGCGAGTATTTGTCATTCCCCGCTTCCTGACTGTGGGTGTGATGGGTCCAGCTGCTAGCGCTTGCCTGCCATGGTGGACCGTACCCTGCACTGTGCTTGAATAACCCTTTCTCCTTGACTTGCTTTGGTCAGGTGTCAGGAAAGGTAACTGATACACAAGGGAAATTTCAAAGTGTAGGTTTCCTTAGTTTTTTGGGTCCTGTCTGAGTTTCCTCTTTCCCCCCTCCCTCTAAGACAGAGGGTTTAAATTTGGAGGAAAAAGGCAAGTAACACTACAGTAACAAGAGACAGCCTTCTGCCTCAAGCATGAACACTCAAAGAACAGTAGCTTAAGCAAAAATAGATTCATTTTTTTCTCACATGTAAAGATCTGGTTCAGCTGTTCAGTGATGACATGGACCCAAGCCTGCTTTATTTTTAGGTATCTGTAACCATTCTGTGCTTAAGTTAGTGGGGAGAGTGGGGAGAGAGAAGGCTAGCCACACCTCTCATCAGGAAAATATCCTTTTCTATTTTCTGTCTGTCTATTTATCTATCTGTCTGTTGTCTGTCTATCTATCTATGAATGAATGAGACAAGATCTCTCTGTATAACCCTGGATATCTAGAACTTACCATGTAGACCAGGTTGGCCCAGAACTTGCAGAGATTTGCCTGCCTTTGCCTCCCGAGTGCTAGGATTAAGGGCAAGCACCACTAAGCTAAGCAGGGAGGTGGGGTGGTTGAGGGGAAGCAAGGAGGCTTTAGAGCGTATCTGCTTCTCATCGTCTGACCTGCAGATTTCTCACTCTGCCACTTCTTTGTGGGAGAGTGGGAAAGTGAGGGGAAAAGATTGGCAGGCTTGAGGCATTGTAAGGACCTTCTTGTATTACTGCTTCAGTAAGGTGAGACTCATAGTAGGAGGAACTGGAAGTGGGTTGTGTTGGTAAGTCTCAGGGTTTGGTGATAGCCCAGATTGTTTCTGGACTTAAGAGGTAGCTCAGGGAATAGGAGGCTAGGAAGGAGTTTGAAGGAGCGTTGAGATGCTGAGTGTACAGTTGTGGACCCCTCTGCTCTACATGACTCAGAAAACATCTGCTTTCGTTTGCTTTACCTGTTAGACATCTGCTCAAAACACAGTTATAGTCTTAGATGCCATAGATTTACGTGCACCTTGAGAATGTGGGTAGGTGAAGTCATTCACTGCCCAGATCCATATTCCAGCCTGTGGGAACCTGACAGAAGCATGATAGTATGTTTATTGCAGACAAGCAGAAAAAGATGGAATGGGCCACAGCAGTGGGGGTACAGCTGACTTTAGTCTGACTAGTTCTCCTTGAAGGACCTTCACTGGCTGTGGCTGGGATCTTATGCTGCAGAAAGAATTTCGCCATGAGTCAGCATGTAGCAGAGTTGGGACTCATTAGTACAAGGAGATAATGCATTCTTTAGGTTTGAGAGGGCCGGGAGAAACCCGTAAGTGTCTTAACAAGAGCTGTATACATGATTTGTGGCTTGTGGAGTTATATTGTTTGAAGGATGTAATTTATAACCAGGGCCAAAGATTAACTCAGTTTAAAAGCTAAATAAAAGGAAAGAGCTGGTTTGCTCATATTTCTCTTAAGTTCATTTTATATGTGATGTTGTGGGGTGGTTGAGAGCACATTATTCAGGCTTATGGCTGAGGAGTGTTGATGAAGTTAAACCCAAAGGTCACATATGTTTTGCCTTAAGCATGTTCATTAGTGGTTTTTACACTCTCATTTCAGATGTATTTCAGAAACAATATTGTCTCTCTGGGCATTCCTTATAGCTTATTGTTTTTGTTTGTTTATTTATTTAGTTTAGTTCTTGATTTTGTTAACAGTGTGTGCATGAAATTGTATGTATATGTATGTGAGAACCTGTGCTAGTTAGTGTGTGTGTGTGTGTATTCAAGAGAACAGACAACCTTGGGTGCCATTTCTCAGGTGTTGCCCACCCACTTTAAAAATTTAAAAAAAAGTTATGTGTGTTTGCCTGTACATATCTGTGAGTCACTTGTGTACCTGGTACCTGAGAGGTCTGAAGAGGGCATTGGATCGCCTGGAACTAGAGTTGGAGATGGTTGTGAACTGCCAGGTGGGTGCTGGGAACTGAACTTGGGTCCTCTGGAAGAGCAGCAAGTGCTGCTAATCACTGAGCCATCTTTCTAGGCACCAGCCCCATTCTTTTCACTGAGATAAAGTTTCAGTGGTCTAGCCCGGCTCTCCAGGGAGCCTTAGGGGCCGGCCTGTCAGTGCCTCCTCGCTCTGAGATTACAAGCTTGTGCTGGCTTTTTGACATGAGTTCTGAGGATCAAACCCAGGCCCTCATGCTGGTAATGAAACACTTTACCAGCTGTGTTATTGCTCTATTGCTTCTTTCTGTTTTGGACAGTCTTTCTGTAGAGCTCAGGATGACTCCTGCCCTACTGTGCTGGAATTAAGGCTGTGAGCCCCTCTTTCTCCCCCAGCTCTGAGTCTTCTGTAGCTCTTCATTTCTGCTGTTACAGTATAAAAGCAGCTGTAACGGTAAGTGAACGAATAGGTGTTCAAATAAGATTTTATTCACAAAAACAGATTTTTCTCCAGTTTGGGTCTATAGTACATAGTGTTTGACAACCTCTACTTTATTTACTTACTTAAATAAACTTATAAGATTGCCAGTAGCTGTTTCTGAGGGCTTTAATAATGCCATCACCTGTACAATTTCTGGTCTTTTGTTAGTGATTTCATTTTGTTCTGCCTGTAGATTTTTCTTCTCCTTTACATGCCTAGTAATAATTTTTTTTATTTTATGCTTATGAATGCTTGCTTGAGTGTGTCTATCGGTGCATCAGTCTATGGTTCCCACAGAGGACGTTGGATCCCCTGGAACTGAAGTTACAGTTGTGAACCGCCATGTGGGTGCTGGGTTGGAACCGAGTCCTTTGGAAGAGCAGTCAGTGCTCTTAACTGCTGAGCCATCTCCCCAGCCGCTTTCTCATTGCTATGTTAGATGCTGGACTTTAATGTACATCGTACATCTTTAAGGTGTTGAATTTTGTTTTGAAATATAGTTAAGATTATTTTGATCATTTTAAAGCTTCACTTTTGTTACAGCAGGTCCCAAGAGAGCCTTGAGACTGCTTAAGCCCCAGTACTGTGAAGCCTCTCTGAGGACTCCAGGTGCTGCCTAGGGTGTAATGAGATCTCTGTATTGCCTGTTGACGTGGGAACATGCACGGTTCTTGTCCCGTGTGAGTGCTGGGAAGTGTTTAGTCTTGTGTTGTCTTCTGGTTTCTCCTGAGGAGTTTCCTTCCGTACATTATGTGTGTTAGTTCTGGAGTGTATCCCTCCGCAGGTCCCCCAGACCTCACGCCTCCTCTGTTCTACACTTGACTCTGTGATTTCTACCAGCTTGGCCTTCCCGAACTCTGACGTCATCTTCACACAGGGTCCACCAGACTCACATTGGCTTCCCTTCTTTTGTGTCATGGGATGGAAAGTGCCTCTGGTGTGAGCCTGGGACACACTTCAGGCCCTTTATTAGTTTCCTTTCTCATGAGGGTCACAGTTTTGAACTATTGTTCAGTGTGTGAAACTGTTATTTCAGATATTTTGTCTGCTTTTCTAGTTGTTGATGCTATCAGGGTAATTCCCAAGCCAGTTAATCTTTTGTGCACAGAAGTAAAAAATCTGCCTCTTGTTTATCTTGAATTCACTCTACACTGGCTTTATTTCCTAGCCCTATATTGAAGTTGAATTTCAAAACTTTATTCAAGTGAGTAGCATTTAAAACACAGCCACGTGTTGTTTAATGGTGGTGGTATGGTTCGAGGACAGTATCACTAGGCCGTTAGTCCTGTGACTCCGTTAGAGTGTGCTTACACAGACTACATAGTGTGTGTTTATCATGGGTGTGGTCTGCATACAAACAAGGGGCGCGTTGAACAGAAACAATGTGATGCTGCACTGTGTTTTACAAAGCTTAGAAACAGTGTAGAATCTGAACTAGTGGTTGCTGGCAGAGTGAACACAGCCAGAAACGTTGTCATTGTCAATGCCCATTGTCATTACCAAATGTTTTATACTGTGCATAATTGAATATACTGTGCTTTTATATGACTGATAACCGAGTAAGTCTATGTCCCCAGCATTAGTACAAACTGACTAATGTGCTGTGCCCTGGACAGTGTGTTGGCTGTGATATCACTATGAGGTAGGAGTTCTTCAACCCCGTCATGGAACTGCCATGTGCTCAGTCATGC